AAAAGCATGGGATTGATTACCAGGGTTTGGGAGAGACAGAGCATTGTGGGAGATCAGCAGGGTTCCAGATGATGCCAGGTTGCTGTCTCAGGTGACTGCTTGGGGAGGGTCTCCAGTTAAACGCAGGTGCTTAGTTTTGGACACAGTGAGTGGAGCTTAGGGGGCGGGGGGAGGTTAGAGACCATCCCTTGAGAGAGGTCCATTTAGACAGTTGGATTTGTCGCTGGAACCCAAGAACTTACTACACAGCATATGAGTGGGAGTGGAGCCCAGGGAAGTGAGGAGATCTTATGCTGACCGAGAAGAGGGCCAAGGGTGCTGTCCTGGGCATGGCGTCTTGCCCCCCATTAAAGGGCAGGGCAGAGCCATGTCTGAAAAGGAGGCCTTGCAGGCAAGCGTACATATTACTCCTTCAGATGAATGGATTGTTGGTGGGCAGAGAGGGCAGCAGCTATGAGGTAATGTGGAATGGAGAGACTTGCTTTAATTCGGGGATACTGTATGTCTTTGTAGACTCTTGTTATAATTTTTTTTAAGTGAGTGCTGTGCCCAGCGTGGGGCTCAAACTCACAACCCCAAGATCAAGAGTCACATGCTCCACCGACGGAGCCACCCAGGCGCCCCTACAGACTCTTTTTAATAAACATTTTGAAAACTCTTCCAAGCCAGTGTTGAATTACAGGACTCATGCACGGCACGCTGTGAAGCTCAGGCAGGACCGGGCTCACGTTCGTTCTGTCTGGGGCTGTTAAAGCCGGCAGCTGCCAGACCACGTGAGTGTGGGCACCTCTTAGCTTAAGGTCCTTGAAGCTCTGCGCTGCTCCACACACGGCTTCCAACAGTCCTGCTGACAGAAATGAGGATGTTTGGAGTTCTAGCTGTAGTTTTGCATTTTCAGCTGCTTGGATGGTCCCCTTGACTTCCCGTCACCATCTCAAATTCTGCCCATCTGGAGGTGTTCTCCTGCCTCTCCGGCCCAGCCCTCCCCCAGGACTTCCCTTTTCTTTCTTTCTTTTTTTTTTTTTTTTTTTTTTAAACTTTTTTTACCATTACCTAACACCCCGGTTATCCAGGCTTGAAGGAACAGCTGATTGCATTCTCTTCTTTGCTGTCTGGACTGTTTTCCAGCGACACATCCATCCATCTGCCTGCTCAGCCTCTTTTTCATTATCTTCTCGGTGTCAGGGTGTTTGCTTGGATTTTAAGATACAGGCCTGCCTTCAGGAAGCTCTTAGTGTAGGGGAGTTGACATGTTGAAAAATTGCAAGAATATGCGACAGGTGCTCTGACGAGATGTGGGCAAATGCCGTGGGTGCCTGGGGCGATCCAGTTTTCACTTTGTTTTTGGGTGAGAGCTGCTTTGGGGGAAGACACCTGACTCTGGGGTCAGATGCGATGAGAGCGTTCCAGAGCACAGCAGTGGTCGGCAGCCCCGTCCGTGCACAGGTGAGGGACGGTGTCGGGGGTCGCTGGATGTGCGAGGCGCCCTCGCTCAGGGCTGGTCCGCCGCTGGAAACCACATTCGCTGATGCCAAGTCGCTTCTGCTGTACCACCTGCTCCTGGTTGCCTGTTGTTTCAGATCCCTTTTCTCCTTTTCTGTACCTTATATGCTTCTCAGAAGCTTTCTAAACTTCCTGTCTTTTCTCCTGGAATTGGGGGGTGCAGAGCTCTGTGTCCTGGTACAGTTTGGATAGTGTTGTGGTTAAAACGTGTGTTGGGGATTATGAAGCAGATTTAGATGGAAAGAGCCCATTGTTAGCTTTAGGGTGGAAATCTGAGGGGTTTGTAGGATTGCACCGGAGAGGCCATCCTTCCTCCTTCATCTGCGGGGTAGTGTTGGCTTGGAGGCCAGTGTTCCCTCCCAGGGCTCCTGGTGGACCGGGCTTGCTGTGGTGCCAACGGGAGTGTCCCAGCCTGACCTCCGAGGATCCCCTGGAGCAGAGCTCACGTGGCGGTTGGGCAGCCGGCATCTCTTGCGAAATACCGGCAAGCAGGTAAAGGTTAAGGTTGGTAATCCTGCCCCTTGCAGACCTCAGCCACTCGCAGGGGCCTTGTCCCGCCACTGCCTCGCCTTTTCACCCTTTGTGGTGACAACGTAACAGGCTCTTGGAAAACAAAATTCAGCAGTGACATGGGAGAGCACTGCGGAAGAGTAGTGTTTCTTCCGGGGAGTGACAGAGTATCTTCCAGCGTCTTGCTACCCAGCACTGGCCTTGCAGCCTTGTCTGCGGTCAGAGGAGAGGCTCGTTTTTGCACCGGGCCTCATCAGGACGACAGTCCCTGGTGGGGTCACCGAGGATTCTGATTCAGGACTTCAGCTCTGCAGCTTCAGAAACAGACTTGGAGGCCTAGGTTCCTAAGCTTCGTGCAGTGAGGACACCGATTTATTGCTGTGTTTGGAGGAGTTCTGAAACCAGGTTTCGTGCAGTGGCTCTTGCGGGCCAGCTGTGGAAGCTCCTGCAGGGGGACTGTGGTTCAGGATACCAGGGGGCCTGGGGCGCGCCTCCTAGCTTCCACCTGGGGCCCCTCACTCTCGTGTCAGGGCCGTACGCGACAGTGACGGATTGGCGCACAGCTCCATGGTGTCCTGGGCCGTCTCCTGGGAGTCCGGCCTCTGGGGGTCGTGGTGGCCTTGTCAGGCATGCTCCCTCCCCAGGCCATTCTTCCTTCTCTCCATGACTTGTCCTGATGTGAAAGGGGGGCCTCCTTCACTCTGTTCAGTAACTTGACAAAGACCTTAGTGATTTCCCTCTGTGTCCAGACAAAGCATGGAGGAAATGAAATTCTGAAAAGATTCTTAGGATTATAATTGGAAGATTATTTTCTGGATTTATAATAACCCAACAGAAATAGGGATTCCACCCTAGACTTTGTGGTCTAACTCTAGAAAACACACCCTCTGGCTGTGTCCGTGGTGCGCACAGGGGGGCTCCTCCACGTCTGCTGACCTCAGAGAGCCCCCCCCCCTTCTCCCTCACCCCGTGGCCCCGCCCCTCTCAGATCTCCAGGTTTCCTGCTCAGCCCACTCGCTGGGAGGCACCTGACACTGTCCCCCCACTGGGGCCTTTCTCTGGCTGTTGCCTGGGCTCAGGATACCTTCTGCCTTGACGTCCTCATGGTTAATGCTCTTGCCCACGGGCCTTGGCCCCAGTTCCCACTCCCCCCGGGGGAGACCTGCCCAGGTTGCCCAGCTCCTTAGACCTCCTGCACGCCCCTCCCCACGCTCACCCCCCATGGCTCGTCGCCTGCTACCAGTCCTGTTTACTGCGCGTGCCTGGTCTCCTCCAGCTTTGTGATGGGCCGCGGCCCACATGCCCAGCACCGGGCCTGGTACTTTGTAGGCTCTTCGTAGCAGTTTGTTGAAGGAACCGCTCAGGCCGTCCTCCAGCTCCCCGTCTGTGTTTGACAGGAACATGATGGCCATTGACGTTGCTCGTGTCTGCCTGTGAGTTGCAGTTGCAACTCGAATGTAGCGCTTTTACCGCACACGTAAGGTGTCCCATTTCGTTCTTCGGTTGTTCTGGGCTTCATTTGGGGGCTCGGTTCCTGCCACCACTGGGCATGGCAATAATCAGGTGGGAAGCTCCTCACTACTGAGTTGCTGTGAGGGTTATAGAGACGCTTTTTATGCATTCAGAGATTCAGTACAAATCTTAAAAAAGGAACATTTAGACGAGACATAAGATTATTTTCTTCTTGAAAGATGCGTGTGGCAGAGAAATTCTTTAAGAGGGGCTGATACAGGGGCGCCTGGGTGGCTCAATTGTTAGGCAGCTGCCTTCAGCTCGGGTCATGGTCCCGGGGTCCTGGGATCGAGTCCCACATCAGGCTCCCTGCTCAGCGGGAAGCCTGCTTCTCCCTCTCCCACTCCCCCTGCTTGTGTTCCCTCTCTCGCTGTGTCTCTCTGTGTCATATAAATAGGTGGAATCTTTAAAAAAAAAAAAAAAAAAAAAAGAGGGGCTGATATATTCTCCAGTGAGGTGATTTGTGGTGTGAGCTCACTTTCTTCTGGGAAGTGTTAAGGTGTTTGACAAATGTCTGAGAAGGAGGAGACATAGGCTGTTGATTTTTTTTTTTTTTTATAATTAACAAATCAGAAAGCAAATGGTAGGAAGCGGCTCTGACTTAACATACGCCCTCAGTACCAAAGAGAGATGGAAGGAGTAGCTGCACTGTATTCTCTTCCTGTGGCTACTGTTCAAATGATCACAAATTTATTGGCTTTAAACAATACAAATTTATTATGTTATTGTTCCGGGGGACACAGGTGTGGAATGGGTCTCATAGGCTAAAACCAAGGTGTCAGCAGGGCTGGATCCCTCTGGAGCCTCCTGGAGAGGTTCTTTCCCTGCCCTTTGCACCTTCTGGAGGCCGCCTGCATCCCGCGGCTCCTGACCCCTTCCTCCCATCTTCAAAGCCTGCAGTTGCCGCTAAGCCCCGTCTCGTGTCTCATCGCTTTGACGGTCTCCTGCCTCCTCCCCCTCCTCCATATGAGACACTGGTGACTCCATGGGACCCGCCAGATGACCCAGGAAATCTCCCCACCTCCGGGGCAGCTGATTAGCCACTTTGATTCCATCTGCATCAGTTCCTCTTTGCCACGTAATTGAGCAGGTCCACTCGTTCTAGGGATTAGTATGTGGACATCTTTGGGGCCGTTATTCTGCCAGCCACATCCACCCTACTGCTCTTGTCCTGGGCAGTTTCGTCCTTCCACGTGGACAGTAAGGGTTATGGTACTGCTACGGACTTTGTCTCGTCGTGGTAAAGCATTTCTGGCTCTAGAGTGCATTCCTAATTCAAAGGTAGAGCAGAGTGTGCACGAAGCAGCAGCACACTTGGACCCGTCCACCCTGTTTCTGCTCCTCAGCAGCCCTGTTTGTCATCAGACTACCAGAACAAAGAATGTCTTCAGTTGGGAGGCTGTGTTATTGCTGCCAGTTCTTAGGAATGTTTCTGTACTTTCTTTGAGAGTGAGGAGAATTTTTCCTGGTTTCAGGTAATGGAAGCATCCCTGAACAATGGTGCTCGGTAGGAAAAAGGAGTTCACTGTTCTAGATGAAGATGTTGGCATGACATGATTTGGGGATTATTTTCCCAGACCTCTGCCTTTTCCTCGAGTCACACGATGGACATCTTGTGTGGAGGAAGCAGGCTAGGTGCTGTTTCTCTTCCACAGACTCATGGTAGGGGCTCATTTGGTTTAATTTCCACCCCCAATAGATTTCAGGGATAAAAAACCGAATTTTTGGCTAAATATTACTGTTCTTTCTTAAGCTCCCATTTTCTTAAACACATAAATGTATTTATAGCACTCTACTAAGAGGAATTGAAACTTCTACTTTAAAAAATTACAAAAATAACACATCTTTATATTGAAAACTCAATTGCTGGAGAAAAGTACATAATTAGAAGTCACTTTTGATTTTTAAAGGGGTTTTTATAGGCCCTGGGACGTTTGCACGATTTTCGTTCTGTGTATTATCCCCAAGGTCAGCTCACCTGATTTCAGCCTGGAGCTGCAGGACTGAAGGAAACAGTCCCCGTGAGACTTGGTGGCACGTGGAGTAAATGGGACTCTCAGGACGGTTTGACGTGTGAGCATGGATGTGAGCCACAGTGTGGCTCTGGGAGTCAGAACCTGGGAAGCGCTAACTGTCCCATCAGGAAGGAGATGCTTCAGCACGCTGTCATATGTTTGTTACAGAATATCAGGCTCCTCTTTAAAAAATGGCCATGTGATGCTGAGTGAAAAAAAAGGTTGCTTGTTACGTATCCTGTTTATTGAATATGTATTTTATCAGTTCACATTTATATGTGCAGAGATAACATCAGTCACCTTTATAAGGATTCAAAGCAAACCCCGACCCCAGAACAGAACTGTGGACCGTGGACAGGGCAGCGGGGGAGGCAGAATGGGTGAGCGCGGCTCCCTGAGTTTCACAGGTGAGCATGGAAGGTGCCGAGAAAAGTAGAATAGCCTCTGGTCTCCTTGACGGTCAGGAAAATGATGATGGCTTAATAATGCTTGTATTGGGATGGGTTTGATTTTAAGAAGTGATGCCATCAGACTTATTTGGTATCTGTATAACTTTTAAAAAGGTAGGCACGTAGTGCTTTGTGTGTAGAATTACTTTTTAGTTCTGTTTAAAAGTCTTAACAGTCGTGGGATAGTGGGATTTTTGTTTGTCTTAGGAGAAAGCATTTAAACTAGTACAATGTCACTGCATTCTTTGTTAAACTGTAAAATCCTAACTATTTGGATAAGAGGCCAGGGTTGAAACATCAGTGGTCTAAAAAAATGGATTAAATATTTCCTGAATTTTTGGCTTTTAGACATCCAAACTTGTAAAAATAACCATGTTCCAGATGGACACCTTTTTTTTTTTTAAGTTTTATTTTTTTTTAAGTAATCTCTGTACCCAGCGTGGGGCTCGAACTCATGACCCTGAGATCAAGAGTTGCACGCTCCTCCGACTGAGCCAGCCAGGCACCGCCAGCTGGAGGAGACCTTTTGTAGTTGGGAGTAGTCAAGTGTCCTAGGAAGATAAACATACAGAAGTGGTTTGTTTAAGCTATCTGAAGTTTGTAATGTAGTAAATTGGGATTAGCATGGTGGTTCCCATACCAGGCTAATCTGCAGAATCACTTGGGTGAGTTTTTTTTTTTAAGAAATCAGTTTTTTGGGGCACCTGGGTGGCTCAGATGGTTGAGCGTCTGCCTTCGGCTCAGGTCATGATCTCAGGGTCCTGGGATCTAGCCCCGCATTGGGCTCCCTGCTGGGCAGGAAGTCTGCTTCTCTTTCTCCCTCTGCCACTGCCCCTGCCTTTACACACTCTCTCTCTGTCAAAAATAAATAAAATCTTAAAAAAAAAATCAGTTTTTTCTGGGGCCCTACTCTGGCTATACCTACCGAATTGGGATCCTCCAGGGTAGGATCCGGGAACAAATGAAAGAACACACACACACACACACACACACACACACACACACACACACACACATTTTCAAAGTTCCCAAATTTGAGGAGCTCAGGTGTAGAAGAGCCCCTTCCTCAGGAACTTCACACTGCTGCCCCCCCCTCAACCCCACCCCGGGGCCATGTGGCCAGGCCCTGACTTGGGCTGGTGTGCCAGAGGTGGAGCTTGTCATTTCCCACATTGGTTGTGTGAAATGACAATGTGTGGAGTTGTGTGTCGTCATGTGTCCAGGACTGTGAGGAGTGCTGGCTGAGTGTTCACTGCATCTCCAACTGTAACCCTCTAATTGATGTGGTTTTGCTTTAGGCCATTTAAAATTCCCCTTAGAGGGTTTTGAGCTTTCAAGCAGAGGTTTTTAAGAGGCTCAGCAGATCAAAGAAGAAGAAGAAAATCCGAAGAAACACACACCAAGCTTGGGTTTGTTTACTCCTTTGCTACAGTTACCAAGTTTAGCTGCCTCCCCACCTCAGGTTCCCCAAGTGTCTGTGTGGTTTTAGTTCTGTTCCTTTCAGAGACACCTTCCCTTTGTGTTGCTCTGTTGCTAGGCAGCCCCGGGACTGATGCCATTGTAGAGCTCCAGTCTGTCCGGCTGGGGATGTGGCCTAAAAGGGTCCTTGCCCTGGCCCCCTTGGGACTGGCTTGCCAGGCCCAGGAGCTTGCGGGAGAACTGAGGCCCAGTCACCTTGCCAGAAGCGTCTTCCCGCAGCTTTCTCTCTCCTCGGGCTCTTGGGGGTCAGTCTGAAACTCGGCGGCTTTAGGCGGCCTGCTAGGTTAGCTGTAATTGTATGTGTCCTTCTTCCTTCACCACTGGGGCAGACTTTGAAAAATTATTATTAATGGAGAATTTCAACAGTGTACCAAAAGTAGAGGGAAGAGTGTAATGAACTCCCACAGACCTGTTACTGTGTACATTTTGGTGTAATTTGCTTGCAGTCGTTTTTTATTCTGTGCATAGTCCTGCGTGTTGACCCACCGAAGTCCTTTTGGGGAAATACAGGATTAAAAAATAAACCTAAAAATGAGTTCCAGTTGTTACGTAGAATGTTTTGTAGCTTCCTAAAAAAAAAAAAAAAAGAAAGAAAAGAAAGAAAACATGTATTTTTCTCTGCCATTAAAATTTGTATATGGACAATTCTTGAGGGGCATCTGTCAGGGCAGGGCCCATGCTCACAGTGGACAGCAAGACTCCAGAGGGGAGGACAGGCAGGCTGGCTGGCTTGCCGCAGCTTCACAGGGGCCGGAAGTGAGACAGTTGATGGCACGGAGCACAGCACACAGCAGGGCAGCCCGGGAGTGCCGCCTCCCCGACCCAGGTCCCATGGGGGGACGTGAGGGGCCCTGATGATGGCCATGCTGGGATTGGGGCAGTCTGCACTTGAGAAGCCAAGGACCAAGCACCTTTTGTAGCAAGCAGCAGACAAGCCGGACCTGCGCCCCTGGGAGCCAGCAAGTTGTGCTGTGTGGTCTCCTTGACCAACCAAATGTGACAGCGAGACGTGCAGGGCTGCGCAGGCCCCATGGTGGCCGGCCTCTGCCAAACACAGCATGTGTGGATCCACCACCCTTTAATTAATTAACCTCTCTTGTTGGTTATTTAGAAGTTTCCACTTTATTCTTACAACAGATAACTATGACATCGTTGTTCACATTTCTGATTATTTTCTTAGGCTAGATTCCAGTGAGTCATATCACTGGGTCAGTGAGTTTAGCTTTTTATTTTTAGTCTCCTCTTAGGTACTGTCAGATGGCTTTCCAAAAACTGCCACATATACATTGACATCTCACTAGTGTATGATTATATTAGTTTACCTTCCCAACATTGAGTTGGTTTTTTGAAAGTAGGGCTCTTCCCCCGATGTGGGGCTCAAACTCACAACCCCGTGATCAAGAGTCGCATGCTTCACCAACAGGGCCAGCCAGGCGCCCCTCATTGTTTTTTAATCATTGGCTTTTTGATAGAACGGTTAAATATTTTTCTGTTTCTCTCAGTGTTGGTGGGGTGAGCTTCGACTGTTCTAAGATCTTGTCTAGTGCCTGTATAAGTCAGAATGGGGAGATTGTAGCAGCTTCTTCCTCAGGTCATTTTTAACTAATTTATTCAACAGGTATTTGTGGAACATCTGCTAGGAGCTGGGTGTTCTACAGGGCTTGGGATTCAGGCATGAGCAGAGTTCTCAGGCCCCTCACAGGGTAGGTAGAAGCGGCTGGTTTCTGTGGATAGCAATGTTTCATCAAGATTCATTTCTTTTCTAAGTTCAGATCCAGTCTTCTTAAGAATAAAGTTAAGGTGGGAACCCATCCGCTTTCCACTTTGTGGATCGGCATAGTGTTCGTTTCTTCCATGTTTATTGGACACGGGGCAGTGGTTGAACTTTGGGTCCCCTTGCAGCTGATGAGCATCAGACATCTGTGTTCCCGAAATGTGTTAAAGACTTTTGAAAGTGAGTTCACACAGGGGCGCCTGGGTGGCTCAGTCGGTGAAGCGACTGCCTTCAGCTCAGGTCATGATCCCAGGGTCCTGGGATCGAGCCCCAAGTTGGGCTCCCTGCTCAGCGGGGAGTCTGCTTCTCCCTCTCCCACTCCCCCTGCTTGTGTTGCTGCTCTCGCCGTGTCTCCTCTCTCTGTCAAATAAATAAGTAAAATCTTTAAAAATAAATAAAATTCTTTTATGTTAGGAGAGAGAAGACAGTCCCTGTTCAGGGACACCCTGATGGAGAGGGAGCTTGAACTTTGCTTGATTACTTTGTCTTTTAATACTCTTTCCGAAATGCATTCTTATAAATTCTTCATCAGTCAGCCTTAATTTTTAAAACTTTGGCCGTCTTGTGCCTTGAGCAAATTATCTGTCTTCTCCAAGGACACAGTCATACCTGCCTCCCCGGCAGGGTCTAATGAAGGGTTTGGTGAGGTGTTCAGCGACATCAGTCGGGGGGTTGGCACGCAGCAGGTGCCTGGGGAGTGTCGGCGCCGATGGCTCTCACCAGCAGACACTCGCCAGGGCTTTGTGGGGCCTCCACAGCGATCTAACACACCAGCGGTGACATTGAAATATCTTTAGTAATAATGAATGCGTTCATTTCCACTTACCTGTTTCAACAGACTTTTCAGGTTTTCTTTTCTTGTAGTTCTTTAAACAAAATTAACTTTTTTTTTTTAAAGATTTTATTTATCTTAGACAGTGTGCGCATATGTGTGAGTGTGCGCCTGAGCGGGCTAGGGGGGAGGGGCAGAGGGAGAGGGAGAGACTCCCCAACAGACTCCGCGCCAAGCTCAGAGACCAACACGGGGCTCCATCCCAGGACCCTGAAATCATGACCTGAGCCAAAACCAAGAGTCGGATGCCACCCAGGCACCCCTAAGAAAACTAATTTGACTGAGGTACACTTGCATACGGCATACTGTCTCCATTTAAAGTATATGGTTTGATGGGATGTGTATGACATTTTTTTTTTTTTTTACCCCTGTGAAGCCACTGTTACAGTCGAGATCCAGAGCACTTCATTGCCCTGAGAAGACTCTTCATGTCTATTTGCAGCCCAGCCCTCCCTCCCTCCCACGGATCTGCCTTTTGTCACTACAGGCGAGTCTGCGTTTCCCAGAATTTTATATTAATGGAATCATACAGTGTATTCTCTTGTGCCTGGCTCTCACTCAGCATGAAGTGTTTGAGATCATCGTTGGGAGCGCCGGTCTTTCCTTTTTATTGCTGAGTTATTTTATTTCCACTATCTACATAGACCACATTTTATTTATCCATTTACCTGTCATGAGCATGTGGATTACTTCCAGTTTGGGGCCACTGTGAATTAAACTGCTGTGAGCATTCACGTACAAGTCTTTGTGTAGACATGTTTTTATTTCTCTTGGGTTAATACCCGTGAATGGAATGGCTGGGTTATATGGCAGCATTTTTCTTTTCCCTTAAAGATGTTTTATCTTACATAAAATGTAACAGAGATAATAAGG